CTGAACCAAAATCGTACCGGGATATCGTTAGACGTGAAAAATAGATCAGCATTGAGAGCTCAAGTTTCAGGCTTAAAGCGTGAAGGATCAAATAACTACTCCACTTCTTCACAGTGTATCAGCATAAAGTACTGGAAATTATTCATCGCTGAGGTTCAATGATCACACAGGAAACACTTAAAGTGAGTCCACGGGGCGATCTCTGGCTGACCTTGGAGGGATGATGTTGCTGCTACCTCCTTTGATATTTTGATGCTTGAGATTTAGAGTTTCACATTCTTGAGTTTGATCTCAAAAGTGCAGTTTATACTCTGGATTTAATCATAAGAATCTCTGGGAGGGTTCCACCATCCATGTATGATTATTTTAGAAGTTAAAGAGTGATTAATTGGTTGATTCTGAGTAAATATTGGCAATAATAAATTAAAGCTCCAGTACGTAATGTTTTTTTTTGTATTCAAAATTTACAAAACTTATATAATACGCGAGTTCATCATGAATACATTTTCCAAAACGTGTTTTAGTCTTATCCTGAATAACTGCGGTACACCTATCATTATACCTATTAGCATCTGACTCTGGTTCTGTCAATCCTTATTCTCTTGGACCTAAGTGCAGTTTTCGACACCGTCGATCACTTACTACTACTTAGTCGACTTAAATCTGTCTTTGGTGTAACGGAGACTGCTGTGGGGCCTCATTTATAACCGTTGCGTACGCACAAAACAGGTCCTGAAAGAGCCGAACGCCACTTCCGACGCACAAGTTGTGATTTATAAAAACAAACAGCTGAAGTTAAATGGCTTTTTGGTCACTTTTAGAAAATTACACATATACAGCAAGATTAATACAAATAGAATTTCACTCTAGCCTATCACTTGAAGAAAACACCCATCCCTTCTTAAATGTCAGCGCTAGCGAGCGCGTTGGCCCGTTTAGTGAAGCTGATAGTAGCATATATATCTGACGGAAGATGAAGGAAAACATAAATCTTCATTATGAGTCCTAATCATAAATATACTGTGCATGTGCACAAAAACAGTTTAAATAAATAAAATAATGATTTAAACTATCTTTTACATCTGATATACACATTTAGATTAAATTTGACATTCTCATTAATGGAGTTAAGCACTTACATGACATGAAATCATTACTGAGAAGTTACAACATTTTTTATATTCTAATAAATAGTTGTTGTGGATGCGATGCTTTAGAACACTTTTCTTGTGGCATGCTGTGTTTTAATGTTTTAACTACAGCGCAAAATATTTTCGCGCAAATAATGCACAATAAGGCTTCCATCGGTTTCCATTAAAAATATAAATCACTTAAAAATACTATTTGGCCAGTGGAAAAGATTGAGAAAAACTTTCTCTGAAATGTATTTTATACTATTCGATTTATTTATTCAAAAACGAGGCAAGGATAGGCTACTAAATGATTTTTAGCAATTTAATGTGATGGTACGTCCGTATCTCATATTTTCCTAATGTCTTGTACCGTTAAACATGGTATCACGTGGATGAATATGCATATGCAAATGATATGCAGATGAGGATATGCATAATAAAACGAGGCGTTGTAAGCTCCATATTTCGGGGGTAGACGCATGTGCGCACAATCTTCCGCTGACTGGGATTTATTAAGGGAATTCTGCGCAGGGTCTGCATACGCACGGTTTTCATTTTGAGGTGAACTAATCCTTTAATTTGTATATTTATTATCCTATTAACTATCAGTCGACCATAGAACAGGTTTAAACTGGTGTGAACGATCAGATGCGTCTAATATTGTATGGATCTCTGAAATCAACAGTTTTGCTCATAGAGCAGGTGGAACAGTATGTTCTTGCCCATTCTGTCCATCGCGCTGGGCTCCAGCCCTCCCCCAGGGACATCATTCTCTTTGGCATTGATCATCACATTGTCTTCTCAGTCAAATCAAGCATGTCGCCTGAAGCCATCCAGGAGAAACTGCCCTGAGCGGTGAACAGCAGCACAGGGACTACTACTACTACTTGCTGCTTATGCAGTTTGCTTCTTGCCCAGACACTTACTGACCCTATGTCATATTCATTAGCAGGAAAATCACATTTCAGCAAAGTTTCGAACTTGAGGAAGGTGAAGCACACATTATTGTGCGTTTAAAACAAAATTACACCTTTTAAAGTGTTTTAGCTGGAAGACAGGATTACTGTAAATGCCTAACAAGGTCTGTAAAAAGTGCACATCAACAGAGAAAGCGCAAATGGGATGCAAACTTCCCCTGAATGACAACCCAAGGTCTCATCACTGCAAACATTAAAGGGATAGTTCGGCCAAAAATGATATTTAAACCATGCATTACTCACCCTCAAGCCGTTCGAGATGCATATGTCAATCTTGTTTCAGACGAACACATTTTCAGTTATTTTAGAAAATGTCTTAGACCCTTCAGTGGATATAATGTGAAGCAATGGGGTCCACCTCCTTCAAGTCCCAAAATGTGCATATATCCTTCACAAAAGTAATCCAACCGGCTCCAGGGGGATAAACGAAGGCCTTATGAGGGTAATCCGTGCGGTTTTGTCGTAAAAATATACATATTTAAAACTTTATAAATGAAAATATCTGACTTCCGGCAACGATCGACGCGCGTCCACGGGTGATGGAAGTCGGCGTACGAGGTAGGACGTAGCGTCGTGACGTAGAACGAACGCGCCCGCGCAGCCAGAGAGCAGAGCAAAACATCACCCGTGAACGTGCATCGATCGTTGCCGGAAGTCAGAAATTTTCATTTATAAAGTTTTAAATATGTATATTTTTACGACAAAACCGCACGGATTACCCTCATAAGGCCTTCGTTTATCCCCCTGGAGCCGGATGGATGACTTCTGTGAAGGATATATGCACATTTTGGGACTTGAAGGAGGTGGACCCCATTGCTTCACATTATATCCACTGAAGGGTCTAAGACATTTTCTAAAATAACTGAAAATGTGTTCGTCTGAAACAAGATTGACATATGCATCTCGAACGGCTTGAGGGTGAGTAATGCATGGTTTAAATATCATTTTTGGCCGAACTATCCCTTTAATATAAGAGCATCTTCCCACATAAAACAAGGAAGAAAAGACAGCACATCATTAAGCCAAGTACCCCATTCATGACCCGATTTCTTGATGTCATCATGAGAGTTTAGCAAGTTAAATAAGATATAAATTGGATTACAAGTGAGACCGCTTTAGGTGCGTACGACAGAGAAATATGAATTCATAAATATTAATGCTTTTCAAATGATTTTTCAAAAACTGAAAGCTTCCCATATAAAAAAAAAATGTTGGGAGATGACATTACAAAAGCACAAAGATGAGTGAGTGGCACATGCAGACTAGAAGGATGTGGAGATGCATTTTAAAAAGTGGTCTGACATTTAAAGTAAATGTTATTTGGACAAAAAAATTGAAAAACAGATGTATTAAACATCTACAACTATGTTAAGAGGCACAGTGCTGCCTACATTTTATTTAGTTATTGATCTATGATTGATTTATACAGTACCAAAAAAATAAAATTTAGAAAACTTTGCTACACCATTAAATTAAGGCTTTCCCGGAAAAAAAAAGAATTTGTTTCAACAGTCCGCATGCGGATCAGTCAGTGTTTCTTTGACGGAGTCCCTATTTAAACACAGGAAATGGAAATATTTGTAGTACAATTCTTTTTCTTTTTTGGTCATTTAGTGTCAAATCAAACAAATTTCAGAAACTTTTTTCGAACATTGAAAATGGGTCAAATTCAACAATTTGTAAATGGAGCTACATTGACAATTTTACTGAAAGACTGTTGAATACTGAAAGTATTATTTTGGAGCATTTACTCGAGTACAAATTAATCTGAATACTTGTACTACTAATATAGACTTATATTTCCAGAAAAAAAAACAGTACTTTTTACTCCTTCAAATTGTACTTCGACCTGAAAAGTTCCATTTTTGCAGTGGTGTTTCAAGGTTTCACTTATTTTTCTAACATCAAAATCCAGTGGTAACTGTATACTATTAAATGTTTATTTATTAAATTATATAAATTGAATACAAGAACAATTAGCATTTAAATGAACATTTTAATATGGTAAATTGTATTTTGCACTGAGAAAATGATTTCAACAAGAAACTCCTCTCTTATTTTTATTTTTGCAAGGTTACTTCTATTCTTAAGTTCAGTTTTAAAGTTGTACTTTTTTACTTTTCCTTAAGTATGTTTTTGGCCAGGAACTTGAGTAAAATTTTCATTCAGTATCCATACTTTCAACTTAAAGGTGCATTGCGCAAGTCTCTGAGTTTTTGCAGAACTATGCCCCCTCTGGCGACAAGCGAAACTGCAACCAGAGGTGTGCAGGCTCATGGACCACACGCATACGCACGCTTGCACGAGCTGTTCATAACCAAAGGAGCATCAGCCGCACAAATCTTTTGTTTACAGTCATAATGTCCTCAGAGGTAATAAAGTTATAAATCTGCAAGTAATTTTAAATATATGAAAGGAAAGGCATTTGAGTAAATTACACACTTATGTGTGAGGGGAAAACGGGGGTAGTAGAAAACTTCGGTTTTTGTTTCCATCTATCTCCATGTTGAACTGTTTTATGTGTTTACTGTATCCACTTATGATTGTATTATTATGGAAACACGTTCATGAACAATATAAGTTATTACTTTGTAAAAGCCAACTGAGGATCCCGTTTGAGCCCTAGAGCAGACCGGAGATCTCTCCATTTGTTGCAAGCATAATTTTCAATTACTTTTTACACCTCTGCATTTAAGATATTTAAGACATTTTGTAATCTTAAATTTGATAAAACTGAATGTAGGACATTTTAAAACTTTTTAGGAAACCCGGGACCCTGTTATAGGATTATAATTACAATAATATAAACATTAATGTCAGATATCATGATGTATGCGATTTACATCCTTTATGATCATAAGAGGAGAGCGAGAGACCGAACAAAACTCACCTTAACGGTTTGGTCCAGGGATGCAGTGGCAACACGGGCTTGTGGTCCCATCAGGCCACAGTGGATGTCGGTGATGGGGAGGGAGTGGCGGGAAAGAATGTGACGAGGTTCTGGTGTGCGGGACGAATCCAGCTGAACAACACTGAAACACAATACACCATCTTTTATTAACTCGCCATAATGAAGTCTTTATTATAAATGACATGCTCAGGACAACAATAATTAATTATGAGTGTCATCAATCCTATCACATTATGTGTGTGATGAGTTCATTAAATTGATGAATGTGAAATATTAAAATATAATATACTGGGTGCAAGTGTAATAAGATTGATATGGCAAGCTTGTGGTGTGACCTTGCAAGTACTAGTTTATAACCAGTGTTGGGAAGGTTACTTTGGAAATGTAATGGGTTACAGATTACAAGTTTCCCTACTTAACATGTAATAAGTAGTGTAACTATTTCAATTACTTTATTAATGTAATTGATTACATTTCATCAGATTAAATCACTTTTTTTGATTACTTTTCTACATTTCTAACGAATGTTTTCAACTGTTAATCATTTTCAAACAGTTTTCACACAAAAATTTTAACCAGGCAGAGTTAACCTTACAGTACTCAACATTACTGTCAGACTTTCAAAATCCTTCCTCACTTGAATTAAGATAATGATATAATTTTAAAGCACAGCTACCACAAAATCAGACCATAGCAGCTCTTTTTATTTTGAGATCGTTCTGAGATTTAAAATCATAACATGAAATACTATTAGATCTGACATGGTTACCAACCTTTATTCAAGGAGGAAAAACGTTAGCTAGCTATACATTTTCTGTATATATGGAATGCATTTTATCACTCGCCATGGTGGCAACTCTCAGACAGGTTGTAGCCTAAAGCTTTCAGTGGCAATGTGGATTAATGTCAGTGTTTCCGCTACATTCATTCTGCCGTGGCGGGCCGCCACACCTAAAATCATCCCGCCACGGCTGCAGCTTCTCGGTCCGATATTGTGTGTGTCATTGTTAAGCCCCACTAAAGGCATACAAAACATTGTAAAGCACCATAACGTTTTCGCACTATATTCCAAGACTTCTAAAGTCATTCAATAGCATAATGTGAGGTAAAAATGTATATTTAAGTCGTTAAGTTAAAGTTAATGGAAACTCATCTCTCCTCAGTCATTCTCCATTCAGCATTCAAACAGCGCGTCACGTTCGGTTACGACAGTAACACGACGACACTCTCTTCAAGATCAATGTTCCCATTATTTTACTTTATTAGTAGATAAAGGTCTATGGTTTGCATAAAATTACTTTATCTTGCTGGAGTTTATAGCGCTTTCTAAATCATATTCCTTTCTCCCGGGTGTCTGTTACTACAGCACTAGAGTAGAGAGCACAATGAATTGTTCTTCATGCGCACTGTAAGTTAACTGAAATTTAAAACTGTTAAAAGAAAAGGCTCAATAAACTGTTGCATAGATATAATACATTAAACATAGATAGATATAATCTCTTCGCTTTGTGCTTTGAACTTTTCAATGCGAAGCGCTGCGCGCTGTGACTTTGCGTTAGAGTTGTGACGTTCGCGAACGAACCGATTCTTTTGAACGGCTCATAAACATGAACGATGGGAGCCGAGTCGCGGCTGAAGGGGAGCCGTTCTTTCTGTCGTTCTTTTTTCATGCGTGTTTCACACAGATGCACACAAATTAGCTCCTCAGTTATAGGGGAAGGGGCGCACCCAGCGCAGGGGTGCTACTGCCTAACAGCATGATGATAGTTGTGCACGCGCGCGCATCCTTTACGTGAGTACTCCAGTGGGAAAAAACCCTACGTGCTGTCATTGGGTAGGAGCAGAGCCAATGACTTATGCCGTCACATGGTTACTCCAGTAAAAAAAAAAAAAAAAAACCCACTAAAGTAACACTAAGTTCCTTTGTAAATAAATACAAAGGAACTGCTTTGTATTTATTTACATTGCATTTTGTGTTCATGTTATTGTATCTACAGTATATATTTACAACTTTAAATAGTTTTTGTTTTTTATCAAAATGTTCTTGTGGTATTGTATGAATAACATAAGTCAACATAGCTTTACACATACACATACTTTGTACTAAAGGTAAATCCAAAATAGTGATATCACTTTCTAAGCAGAGGGATGTTGTGCAACCCTATGGAATATAGTCCACACATGACAAATGAGGTAATAATCAATATTTCAGAATAATTCAAACTCAGATATTGGTGTGTGATATCTGAGTTTTAATTAATTGACTACAAATCTCACCTCATCATTCCTCCCAGTGATTATTTCCAGGATAAACTGAGATTCCCCCAAGCTGGCTTCTTTAAACTGACTAAATATTTAAAAAGAGCCAAAAGAGCCGTTCTTTTGAACGGCTCTTTGAAAGGAACGGATCGCAAAGATCCGGATCTCCTCAAAGAGCCATAAATCCCATCTCTACTTTGCGTTGCTTCAAGTGCATCATTCTGCGCACGCGATGCGCATAATCGCTTTTGCCGCTCTTATTGACGCCTTTCATGTTATAATGCTTAGGGGAGGTTTAAACACCTGGGATAAGGGGGCGTGGCCAATGGGAATATCACAAAATGGGCCACGCCCCCTCCCCCTGGCGAAATGGGCCTGCCACCACGGCTGGAAAAAATCCTAGAGGAAACACTGAATGTCATTGGCAGATGTCGTGCCACTGCCAAACAAGAGAACCAATCAAAAGCATCAGAATAGCATCGCTTTACTAAACAGCCTTTAAATGGCAGGAGGCATCGTGCACATCAAAAACAGGCAAAGCAACAAAATAATATTATTCAACATATCCTAGATTTTTAAAGAAAATATTCAGGTGTAACCACCTTTGTAATCGTTAACATTTTCTTAAGTAACTAATTTAAGTACACATTTTCTCTCAGTAACTGTAACGGATTACAGTAACATTTATTTTGTAATTAAATTAAATAATGCCATTGCATGTTACTAGTTACTCCCCAACACTGATCGCAAGTGAGCTACTGCAGGGCTTGACGCTGACTTTTCTCAGGAGGAGCATTGAAAAGTTGAAAAATGTAGGAGCACAGAGAGATCTTTAGGGGCGCAATGGAAATCTATTAGTTTTTCCGTAATAAATAATGTGCAATAATCATACTGTCTAATCAGCATCTTGATATGGCACACCTGTGAGGTGGATGGATTATCTCGGCAAAGGAGAAGTGCTCACTAACACAGATTTGTGAACAATATGAGAGAAATAGGCTTTTTGTGTAGCCTACATAGAAAAAGTCTTAGATCTTTCAGTTCAGCTCATGAAAAATGGGGGCAAAAACATAAGTGTTGCGTTTATAATTTTGTTCAGTGTGTGTTGCGTATCTAGCTCGCTGCGTGTTTACTTTTTTACGTTACTTTTTTATTTATTTTTTTATGGTGAAGCGTCTAGGGGCCTGTTTACACCTGGTCACTTCATGCGTTTTTACTGATCAGATAGGCTAGCTTTCTGATTTATCAAAACGATTCCATTTACACCTGGTCACATAAATGTGTATCCGCAAAATGGATATAAATCCGATCTTCAATTCCCGCGCTATATGCAGATTTAATGGAGTTCACGTCACCGAAAGCAACAGATATGAGCTGCATTTTATTGATCATCAGCTAATTTTAAAATCATCGACAAGAGAGAACGACAGCAGCACTGGTTTCGTTTCTTTACTTTTAATGAGGATGATTGTGTGTTGAGCCTCTACGACTTACTTTCACTTGTGGCAGTTTGGCGCGTTGAAATCGCGTGAAAACGCATGAAGTGGCCAAGTGTAAACAGTCCAGAAGGTGCGTTTGTGTTAATTACATGATTATTATTATTTTTTCAACAGACAACATTGGTTGAGCGCAGAGACAGCGTCATTGTTTAAAACACTTTTTTGTTAAAAAAAAAAATTGTATTCGCACACGTGCACCTAAATAGGCTACATTTTACAGTTCGCACACATCTATTTTTAGTCGCAAATGCAAGTGAAATGCTCGCACTGTCGAGCCCTGTGAAATGAGCAAGTTTCAACTTCAGAAAAGCCACACATACGGATCTGGTTATGAGATGCAAACGCCAAATTGTATTAGTTTACAAATGAGGCATTTTGAGGTCAAACATGGTATTGTGCAAGGAATTGCATAAGAATAAGTCTTTATTAATTGATAATTTGCCCCTTTAATCACAATTTAAGGAATACAAGTTGTTGCTGTTTACTACCTCAAATGTTCATTTCAGCTGGAAACTGCTGTGATTTGTATGTTTTGAGTTTTGCAAAACATGTTTCCAATGAGCCTGTGTTGGATTTTTATTTTTTTTTCAAATTCTGATTTTTGTTTCTTGTTTTCTTCTCAGTATTGCTAGATTATTTTTTAAAGTGTCTAATACTCCATTATGCAGGAAGAGTTTGCTTTCTTTAACTGATACTATTTACTTAACTTCACTTTTGCTTTCAAGTTTGCTTTGCAAAAAATAAGGCAAACATTTTTTTCAGTAAACTGAACTTACCGGTATTAGAATGTAGAGTCAAACTGCTAATGACTGTTGAATGTATCTGGTCAAATGTTCAGCTTGAAAAAGATGATGGATTGAATGAAAGAGATGGAGAGAAGGAGATCCAGATGGAAAGAAAAGGACAGATAAAGTGAGATGAGACAGAATTGAACCCCATTCTGTCAGCACCACTGCATGACGCAGCACCGCAGGGTAAGCTCAGGGGCCGACCTGTCTTAAACAACATCTGTGATACACATCTGTGTTTTTATGTGAGAGAGAGTGTGGTTAATAACTGAATGAGTTTCATATTCATGAGTGAGGGTCAATGCCTTCTATCCACAGCTCACTTACGCAGTTTTCACACGAGTTATCATAGCAGTCTAAAGCCCAAAGTATACTTTGCGCACTGTCTGTGTGGTGTAATTTTCGGAAGATGTTGTCATCAAGAGGCCCGAGGACATCCGCGCACACCGTCCTCATGCAGCACAATCTTTGTGTCCAAACAACAGCGCATGTGCAAGTGACTTGAGTGTGAGTGACAGTCCACTAAAAAAATGTATGAAATATGCATGGGCAATTTAAGCAAAAACAATGAAATA